GCTTCATTTGTTGACATTCTGGATTAAGAACTCTTATTATTAATTTATAATAGTTACTTCTTTTTCTTTGGTTAAATATAGTTTACTTCTTTATTGTCGACATAGCCACACCATGCATGAGACAAACCGTTCCGGTATGATAGCGATGCCACAATATCTCTCTTTTATCTTTCTTGAAATGAGAAATATTGTATAATATATAAAATGATGCATGGTTATTTATATAACTGGGGACTTTTAAACTGAAATACAAACTATTTGATTGGATCTGAAAAATAGTAGGTTAGCCCACACAGTTGTGGTCTAGTGGTAAGAGAGAACTGAAAAAATGTTGGAAGGAACTAACCCTAGTTCGATTCACCTTGGAAACAAAAATCACATATGTGAGAAGTCTGGGTAGACCCAAACAGTTTACCTGGTAGTCAGTAACAGGCGATCTCTCTACTCCCTAACATTAGTATGAAAGCATTCCAAACTCAGAACAGGCAGTGTAGTGGCCCTTCGGAGAGAAGTCTACTCTGAAACACTTCGGTACGTTTCTACCGGAACTGACCGGATCAGCCGATAGGATTTATCAAAAAATTAAATAGGAGAGTATTCTTGTCGTTGTGTACATCATGATGTTTTGGAGTGAAGAGATCATATTCCCACCAAATTAATGATGGTAGCTTAGTGGGTAATATTAGTGAATAACCAAATAAAACACATAAATTAGGAAACTAGCAGAGAGAGAAAATATTGTCGGAAAACAGCATGGACCCACCTTGTCTGAAGAGGTGAAATAACAAAACCATCCTCCGTTTGTTTTTAGATCTACAGTAGGCGACATTGTTTCGTGATATTTTTAAAAATAGCACGTAAGATCTAAATTTCACATGTTATATTTAACTAAAATACATGCTATTTAAAAAAATGTAGTGAATTTTTAAGAAAAAACATTGTTACGTAGTGTTTTTTTTTTTAAAAACATTGTTACGGAAAAATTAAACTTGAATAGAATCTTTTTATAAAGAAATAACATGTGATCTTAATAAAAACCGTGAATTACTAGAAAATAAGAATCGTTTTTTAAAGAGATTACATGTGATCATAATAAAAAAACGTGTATTACTACAAAATAACATGATAGCGAAAGATATTAAACTGAATAGAGTATTTTTTTCAAAGAAATAACATGTGATCTTAATAAAAACCGTGAATTACTAGAAAATAAGAATCTTTTTTTAAAGAAAATCATATGTGATCATAATAAAAAAACGTGTATTACTATAAAATAACATGATAGAGAAAGATATTAAACTGAATAGAGTGTATTTTCAAAAAATATCATGTGCTCTTTATAAATAACGTGTAATACCGGAAAATAATATGATAAAAAGAGATATATTATTCTATCACATGTAATTCGAGAAAAAAACATGTTATAAAGGGCATGTGTGTAATTACACAAGCTTTCCGACATCCAACAGACAAAGTACTGTAGCTCATGGCTATTTTCTTAATTCTTTTTGAATTCATGGCTAGTTACTATAAATTCTCTAGCTTAGTCAGGAATCAGGATAATTTCTTATCATGAACACAGTCTATTATATGATTCTTCTATGGTAGAAATTTTCTTAAAGATGTTTTTCATAGTCATAAATATATGATTTTCCGGAGTAATATATCATTTGATTTATCAAACAATTGAAAGTAGTAACTACCTTCAATTGTTAAACATATATAAAACGCTAGGAATTGTTATGTGGAGTTAGAGATCAATTCCTGCTATATGGAGTATAGTTTTTATTTAGCCAATACAAAATTCACATAATAATTATAAATTCAGAAATTCTATAGTCTTTTCTTGATTGTGGGTTTGGAGTTTTCAGTTTTAAAGATATAGCTTCTCTATTTGCATGTATCATCTTTTCATAAAAAATTGAGTATGATTGTGAGGAGGTGTGAGAATTGTAGAACATGATTCTTGAACAAATGACTTGAACGGTGCAATGCTTATATAATTAGGTATATTCTGAAACAAATAAGTTTTGATAATCTTTAGAATTTTTTTTTTTTTTTTTTCGCAATTTTGTTGTTGTTGTTGTTAACATAAAGGAAGAGCCTCCGAAACCTATAAAAAAACACATTTAAAATTAAATATTTACAGTAACCAATTTAATCATGATTAAAATTGCATTGTGAGATTCGAACTATGGCCTTTCAACTAATTTTAGTGAATTCTTCAACACAACCATGAATTGGTTTGACTAAATGAATCCTTCGATCTTTGACTAAATGATTTTTGTAATGTAATATTTCCATTTTTCGTTTTTTTTTGTTCCCCTTTAGAATATGGGAACTCTAGTTGATCTTAGTGAAAGCTGAAAGGGGACTTTGTATACCTTTCGGTTAGAAAACGACAATCTTGCTATGTGCCAAATTGTCTCAATTTACTTTTCGTGACTCCATCTATTTCCTATTATTAACTAGTGTAGTGAGAAAAAAAAATCTTGAAATGTCAGCTTTTATTTTCCCAATTCATGTATATATGCAGCTATGAATTATACATGAGTTAGTTTTAGTTAAATAGCGTAAAGAATCTCATGAAATTATCAGCTAAATATTTTTATTCATCGATCTATATATCTAATATATCTAATACTGATCTAATACAATTTCGTACAACGTATTATAAACCACAACACATCTCATATATTAATATTATCAAAAGTTCTCCATATATGTATGTAGAGATAATAATATGTACATAACTAAGGTCTTGCAACTTGCATATTCCAAAAATACTAAGACGAAATCATGTGAAAAAGGCATTTTCCCTTGAGACAGAAGATATCGAAAAGAGAACGCATAATTCTCAAATGTGATTTCGAAGCAACGTGTTTCACTTATGAAAAGCTTCCCTACCTCTTCGGAAAATACTAAATTTAATTTGCACGTTTGATTAATATCTATGATTAAGGACCATAACATCATGCATACTTCTTTAATTTTCAAATGGATTTAGGATTCACCTCTAGATCAACCCCACTTAGCTAGTTATGGTAACGTGGGGCATTTTAGCTTAACCATATGTCCATATCCATATCTATGTCATAGCATATGATATGACTTACAACTATAAACTCCAAATTCACGTGCATAATATAAACAACACTTTATGACATGTGGACTCACAATCTCCATATTCACGTGCATTAACGTACACACATGACATGAGCATAGTTCCATATAGTACATTTGGAAAATATGACAGTAAATATTATTGGATCAGCGAATCCTGCAAATTGCATCTACCAAGAAGACTATTCATCAGTTCTACTTTAGAGCCACCGGATCTAATCAATCGTGTGCCCATTTCAAGCCCAATCCACTCGTCTTTTGTTAGATTTTCGTTTTTCTTAATATTGGGTTTGCTCAAACATTAATAATTGAAAATAATTTTAAAATTTAGAAATAGGAAACAATAAAATATTGGGGGAATGTTTTTCGTGGAATTAAGCTTGTTGTAGATGAGGTATCAAAAATGTCACGTATATCCAGAACCGGTTTTGAGATCATTTAAAAAGTTTCATGCAAATTTTTTTTTTTTTTCTTTACTGATAAAATTATTTTTCAAAATTAAATATTAACCTGTAATTTGATTTAAGAATAAACAGTAAACAAATTCATTTATACAAAGTATTAGAAAATAATTTTGACAATAAGGCCTAAAAACATTTATAAACTCAAGATGTCACATACATGTATTTTGTGTCCTTAGGCATGAGTTTCATGTCTTTGGTCTAAGGGCCGGTTATGCTTACATATCTTACAAAAGATTGAGGACAACAGAATCATCAGTCTCATCTTCCATTCACAACTTCGATTTTCATCTAGCACTACTCTTGCTTAGAGCAAGTAGAACATGTGCTTTAGGCCATATATTATGATCAAATTTTGAGGACTACACTAGCAAAATATACTTTAGTCTGCCTTGTTTCTGTGGTCATAGGTGATGCGTTTGTGGGAGGGTTTCTTTCACAGCTGGTGCACAGAAAGGGGATTGAAGAGTGCGTGAGGGCAGGATGCTACGCTTCGAATGTAGTGATCTAGAGTTTTGGCTGCACTTACCCTGAGAAACCAGACTTCAACTAAAACTAAAAGTCTGACAATTAATCATTATTTTAGTTTTATCTCCGAATGAGATTTTGGTGATTTATTACATTATACGATCCAAATAAACACTATTGTTGTTTGCTTGTATAACCTTTTGAGGCTTTGAGCTATTATTGAGTGTGTTTTTGGTTTGAATTTATCGGTATTCTATAAGTTTATAAATATTATTACTATGAAATTTTTTAAAAAAACAATAATAATACTTTAGTAGTCTAGTATCTTTCATTTTTCGTAGAACATCAACTATGGGAGTTCAATCCTTAATTACTCCTTCCAATACTATCATGTTTGAAAGGAACCCAATCTGAGTTGATATCAACATGTATCACACTATACTTCCTAGTTAGAGTCGTCCCTAAACTTAAGTAATGTAAGTTTGGATTTGCGGTCTTATTTAGAATATATATTTTATTCGGTTTTACAAAATTTTCGTTTCGTTGTAGCTTTCACATTTTTATGAGTGGTTTATTCATAGTTATAGCCACCTAATTCGTGCAATTGATAAAAAAATTCGGGACTGAATGAGTTCTATCATATACAAAATTCACCAAAACTTTGTCTTATCGTGTCAAATGGTTAGTCTTGTGGACATGATGCTATTTTGATGTTTTAAGTTATTTCAAATTTTCCAAAAGAATTTGTTCCTACAGTATTTGTCCACACTTGTAAATCATTTTTTTTATCAATAAATTTGACCAAAGAAAAAAACTAAAAAAGGTTATTTGTTTTTCTAATTTTATTCTATAATTGGATCGGATCTCACTGATTCGGATCCCAGTTTGTACCCGTTTCAGTTTCACAAACTCTGTCATCGTTTATAAATGTAAAAAAGGGATTCCCTCTTTCTCTTTCTTGACCGACTTTCTCTCTCTAAAAAAAAATGTCTCGATTGCTCTCCAAAACCCTAATTCCCCACGGAAGATTCTTCCTCCGTCGTTTCAACGAGCCAACGATTACGCCGACGGCCCCGCCAAACCTCGTCTGTTTCAGCCGCCGCTTTTCATCAATCCCACAAGTCATCGAGCTTGAAATCGATTCTAAAACCGAAGCCGAAGCCGCGATTCTCAAGAAGCTTAACGAATTCGTCCGAAGGATCATCGTTCATAATTCAACTCCAGATTGGCTTCCTTTTGCACCTGGCTCTTCCTTTTGGGTACCACCTCATCAGATTACGGCTACGAAGATCGCGAATTTGGTCGATAAGGTTACTAATCCGTTGACGGAGGAAGAATCTCTTTCTCTTTCGTCTCCTTATGGTTGGCCTTGTTCCTCTTTCTTCATTCCTCCTCCAGGTATTGCTCTAGATGATGGGTCTTGCTTGTTTTTGGTTCTGCTTGTTAAAAAAGATATCTTTTGAGAGTTTCCTCAATGTCTCCCTATAAACCCAATTTATGAGAAAAAGTTGGGATTTTTTGGGGTGATTACGTTTAGATTGTGAAGGGGCTTTACTTAGGGAAGAGAATGTGTGAACATTTAATATACTAGAGCTGATTTTGTTTTGATGTTATGCGTCTCGTTTTCGAAAGATATGATTCAGTTGTTGTTAGGGTTATTTGCTGATATCTGTGGTGATATGTTTGTATATGTCGATGGAAATGTTAAGATGATTCAACATCTACACAAGAGGTAGAAGCTAGCGTGGAGTTGAAAATCCCGGGGAATGAGATGCTGGAAATCAAGCTAGCACATTATCCAGATCCTATTTACTCTTTTAAACCTGAAGACGGTGAGGAGTGACTCGATACCTTTCCAGCACGAGAGAGCAGGTAATAACATTGTAAAGATTTTTTTTTCCAAGTTGATTATAGATTTGAAGTAGCAATGAAATGTGTTCTTGACAAAATACCTTGCGTGTACAGGACAAGCTTGGAAAAACAGATGATGATCGATGATACTCAAGCAGTTTGTACATACAGTTGAAAATCATGGAGTTATATGATCTTTGGGTGATTTTATACCTTGTTTACTATGTTTTATAATTGACTTAATATAATTAGCTTGGGGGCTTCTTCCACTTGCCAGATTTTATGGTGATGCTAACTTGACAATTCCAACAGCCTTTCGAAAACCTATATGAGCATTTTCGCCTGTTATGATTGTTTTTCACCCAATCTTGTTTATTGCTCTGATTGAGGTTAGTAGAAAAGATAGGGTTGCACACTCATGCTTTGATTAATTGCATATAGGGTATGGTTCATTGCAACTATTACACTGAGAAGACCTTGCTCGCCAAGTTCCGATGAAGGAGGACTCGCCCGAGTTTGTGATCATGAACCGTATCTTTTCACAGAGACTTTTCTTATGGGCAGCGCGGTACTGGTTTGTTGTTATAGATAGTTGAATTTGATACTTCTGCATAAGTTAAAAACTATAGTTTTGACCAATTGAAATTAGGGATCAAAGAATAGTTAAGGTTTGGACAAACAGTCATTTATCTCCAATTCTCCATCACATCCTCTCAAGACTCTCAACGATGAAATGTTTCTTTTGAAACACAGATGAACAAACTAATGTTATGGTTAACAAGTACTCTTGCCATTTTGGAAATCTAAAGTTATGTAGAACGGTTCGAATTTGGTCTTATCGTTTTCCTTTCGCACATGAACTTTCGACTCTTCCTCCTTTAACACGGTTCATGATTTACACAACCTTCGCATCCTCTTCCTTACAACGATTATGAGAAACATTTGTCACTGTTTAACGTTCACATTAGATCTTCCCGGCTCCTGCTAATCCTATAGTCATATTTAATTACCTCATCCTCTGTTTTTTAATTGTAACAGCTTCTAACCCTTGATCTGGCTTAGCTATCACGTTTTGAGCTATTGACCAACGAAATCTTCCACCAGATGAAGTAAAGATCGATTAACGCCAGCAAAGAAAAGAGGAAACAGAGGGATTAAAGCCTCTAACATTTAAATTTCTCACTTTGCTCTGTTTAACTCTGTTATGCTCTGTTCTCACTTCCATATCTCTGTTTTTGGCATTAAACGTTTTATAACTGAAGGAACTTATCTTTCAGTGGATTCACTGGGCAGATTGATCCAGCCTTTTCTAATCTTATATCCATAAACAAAACGTTAACGCTTTTGGCTAAATAAAATCATTTTAGTTGATTTATTTTCTCTTGTTTAGAATGACAATTCTTCTCTTTGACAACTATTTGCAAGTAACATAAATGCTTTTATTGAGATACAAATGAAATAGAATATAAATTTATTCTTCGAAATTCACTACCTTGCTCGAGGAACCATTTCGTTGTCTAGATTCACTGTAAGCATTTTCGTCGAGTCATCGTAGTTTTCCTGATCAGTCACTCTACCATAAACAATCTGTTTCAGCTCCATAACGACCTGACTCATCGTTGGCCTCTGAGCAGAAGTGTGCTCGGTACAAGCCAGAGCTATTTCTGACATTTTCCAAGCCGAACCAACGTCATATCTCTCTCTTAGACGCTGATCCACGATTCCTCTAATGTCTCCGTTGGCTAACATTAACCTGACGTGATCACTTATATGCCTCTTCTCTGTTTTTGAGCTTGCAATAGCAGGTTGTCCTGTAATCACTTCAAGAAGAACAACCCCAAGACTATAAACATCACTCTTCTCGTTCATTTGGCGCGTCGAATAGTACCTGTAATTTCAATAATATGTGTCATCCTAGATGAAACATTTGTATTCTTTAGTTTGAAGAAATAGTAATTAATAAGGTTTGTATTACTTACTCGGGGTCAAGGTAACCGATGGATCCAGCGACAACTGTTGAAATCTGACCGCTTCCTTCAACAGAGAAGCTTCTAGATAAACCGAAGTCCGCCATCTTCGCTTGGAGCTTCTCGTTTAGTAAGATGTTTGTTGGCTTCACATCTCTGTGAACTATAGGAGGCTTACAACCATTGTGAAGATACTCTAGTCCTGAATTTGTTTTATAGACAATAAAAACACGCACTTCATTGATCGATTTTCGCATGTTGGATTTAGTTAATTGTCATTACAAGATGAGACTTCCCGAACCTTGCGCTGCATCTAATGATATCTTCAACCTCTCTTCCCAGCTCAAGATAAATGACCTTTTTCCTTCACAAAATGAAACAAAACCAAAGTTCCTCTCTCAGTACAAAATGAAACAAAACCAAAATGAACATATGATTAGTGAACAAAAGTAGAATTACTAATCAACCTGCCAAGAAGTTTCCTAAGTTGTCATTAGCCATATACTCGTAGATAAGCGCCATGTGGTTTATTTCGTTGCAATATCCAACAAGAGAAGTCAGGTTCGTGTGATGAACTCTCATGAGAAGGTCAACCTGAGATTTCAATTGGATTAGTTAGGTGAAAAAGTTTGAAAAAAATTAAGACTAAGACCTTGAAAGGTACAAAACAAACCTCTGCTCGAAACTCTTTGTAACCTTGAGCTGATTCTTCAGAGAGTACCTTGACAGCAACTTGTTCACCATTTATAACACCATGGTATACTTTCCCAAAAACTCCTTTGCCAATGACTCTCTCAAAGTTATTTGTGATATTCACAACTTCTGAGTATTTAAAGTATCGCTTCGCTGTTTCCAACGGTCCATTCCTCACACCAAGTGCACCTATAAGAGCCTCATTTAGTTTATGTCTTCATTGGAAGATAAGTTGTAAAAATAGTACCTCTTTGTTGTTTTTTCTTGAAATGCCGAAACAAAGCTAAAGCCGTCAAAAGAACGATGATGATTCCTACGATTATTGCTACTAATGGAATGATGTATCCATTCTTCTTCTTCTTCTTCTTTGTGTTTGGACATGAAGCAGAGAGACAAAGGCCCGGATTTCTACCAAATCTATAAAGTTACAATGTAGACAGTATAGGAATGATACATTTCAAAGCGCATTGCGAAATTATCGGTTCTAAATCACATTCAAATAAGAATAAGTAAACTAAAATAAAAGGTAGCTTAATGAGTTGCAAACCTTAAGGAAAGAGATCCATTCTTTGATCTTTCAAGCAATTTCGCTGGAATTGTGCCCGTTAACTTGTTTCCTTCAACGTTTCTGCATATACGAATCCGCAGTAACTCGTAAATTCAAATATATCTTTTGCTTCACGGATCAAGTGAAATATTTGCTCTAGTTGATATGACTTACAATTCGGTCAAATTTGGTAAGTTAGCGAGGAAAGCAGGTATTTCTCCTGTTAAACTATTACCTGATAAGTCTCTGTAATGAAACTTGATTATGTTAGTAAGGAAGGAAATCACAACTCTGTATACTACAAAGAGCATCAATGTTAATTACATGTAAAAATACCCACAATTTTTCTAAAGATGTAAGGTTGGAGAAGGCTGGATCGATCTGGCCTCTTAATTCAATGAAAGATATATTTCTGCCAAATAGAGACGTTTATGACAAAACAAAAACAGAGCAAAACAGAACACAACAGAACAGAGAAAAACATAACAAAACATAGCACAACAGAAGAAAGCAGAGTAAAACAGAACAGATTAATATATAAATTTAACACTAACTTACATAGAAACGACTCTTGGATTGGTACTGTTATCACTTTGGATACAGTCAAGACCTTGCCAAGAATGATCAACGGGAACACAAGGATCTCCTTGCCAGTTCTTCTTCACACTATATTTGGCTTTAATCTTCCTCATGGCATCAACTATAAGCGCATATAAACGAAATCAGACAAACTAAAAAACTCAAGAGGAACTTTGTACCATATGAAAAGCCATAATTACCATCTTTTGGATCAGTTGGGATCTGAAGGAACTCATTGACTTGATAGACCTCAAGGGCGTTAATGATCGGTGGAAGTACAAAGTCACCAGCTGGTTGCAAAAGAGAGAAATTAACGGTGACTCCGCCCACGGGATCCGGTGTAGAGAATGTGTCGGTAAGCAAGTACCGAAGCTTAAACGAAGGAGATATTACTTCCTCATTTAGCCAGATGCTGAATTCTCTCGTCTGGTTTCTTTTCAGTACTTCAATTTCAGCAAAATGCATGTATACATAAAACTTTGCGTTAGGGTCGGGCGGTCTGAAACTAAGCGTTAGGTAGAGGCTCTCGTTTCGCGATGTTTCTGCAGTGCTCATGACAGTAGAAGCCGGTTGGTAGCCATTGTTTAAAAATTGATCGACAGTGAGAGATGTATTTAATGTCTTGGACGAAAACAGACTACGCGGTGTCCATATTCGGTCATATATGTCATCTTTGTACCTACACAAATGTGTATAAGAAAACTTGAACGCCAAGAAAAAAGGAAACTGCAAAAACAGAAGTTTCCGTGTAAAATAATCAAAGTTTCTGGTCAAGGTTCACCTTGATGGAAGATCGTCCTTTGCGCCATAATCCAATCTCCGAAGGAGGGTAAGTGCATCATAAGGAGTCACATAAGTAGTGTTCAACAAGAGCCGTATCTCCAAGACAGAAACAAATGGAGTTCCTGCGTTCTTATCAACAACACACACTTGAACATTGTCTAAGAGTGGAATGGTGATTATCTCTTTGTTGAGTATAGTTGTTGCATTGTCGAGTTTAACAGAGTCCCAGAGATTGACTCCTAGATAGAGATCGAACTCGGGTGTTCTTCCAAGATCATCATAGTTCCCGTACATGAAACGAGTTCTGATTAGATACTTGAAACCTTTGCCTCTTGGAGTCCGAACATCGTAACAGTTTCTCTTGCCTTCAGGGAAACTTCTCACGTTCAACAAGTGTCTATCAAAACCACTTGATTGAAACTGAGCTGCAATGCTCTTTCTTGTTCCTGAATCAACAAACGCTGAATCCGAAACATACTTTATGCCGGTAGTCTCATCGTTGTAGCTAGAATCATCAGGTATCCCACAATCTATACTTATAAAACCTGTAACGTTCAGAGAATGAGAGAACGATGTAAGAAGATAAGATAGATGTATGGAAGCTTGGTTTTCTTCAAGATAAGCACTAAGGGAGAGTAGTTTTATTAAAAAATTGTATGCAAATTCTTAACCAAACGATGCACTTGATGTAGAAACGTTTTTTCGAATAAATTTTACATCTTATTCAAAAACAAGAAGAAAGATGTAAGAAGATTATAATCATATATAGTTCTTTAGCATCTGAATATTAAACAGAGCAAAGATTGTTTTAAATTACCAGATTGATCTTGAGCGTGAACAAGAAAGAATAGAAGAGCAAAGCTTGTGAATAAAATCGATGAAAGAGAGATTAACATTGCCATTTACTTTAATTGAACTGCTTTTTCTGGGACTAAGCTTGCTATGAGCAAAGAGCAAATGTTTTATAATAAAAATCATTTGGTCAATAAGGCGTTGATATATATGATTAGTCAACCAACCATCTTCTAAGGTTATTAGTGTTTACCCAATTTTTGGAATTTACAGACCAAGACATAATATATGTCAATTGTCAACGGTTACATTATTTCTACTTATTGCATATTTGCATGGTTTTATTTGGCAAATGATTACCTTAGGGAAGGCGTCTAAGTTCTCTGCAAAAATTTAATTAAGTGTATATTTGAGTCTAATAAAGCGAGGAGACTACATGCATAAAAAGATTTAATTTGAGACTTAAAATATAAGT